TCCCCATTGACATAACAGTATCGATAAAATACACATATGATTGATATCACATATCATTGATATCACGTATGATTAACATGACATATGATTGAAAATACAAATATGAGAATGTCGATGATAGTCATTTTGAACATTTATAATCTTAAAATAAATTAACCTATCTCCTCTCAATTTTACCTCTTGATATATGCAATAAAAAATTATTTTATTGATTTTCACATGTTTTAATAAAGAACCACATACGTACATGTTTTAAAATGATAAAAAATTATTCGTACGTATATTATTTCGTAATTAAACGATTTATGCATCACAGCGTCTGCAGATTTCACCACGGAATTTTTGAGATTGGTTCGAGCAACGAAACGATGGAAGAATTAAGGGGGAAAGTAGTTTCCGGTGATCAGGCAGTAAAACTGCCGTCGAATCTCGCGTTAATGGCGATCGAATTTACAGGCGCGATATGTGGAGAGCTACGAAGCCAGGAAGGAAGGAAGGAAGGAAGGAAGGAAGGAAACGGGGTACGGTCAGTGTCATTTCCGGAACGAATATACGAGGGGACAGACCGGTGTATACCGCCGATAATTGCTGCTCGTACACAACCGGAAAACACGTGAGCCATTCGCCAACAGCCTCGTTCGCCATTAATTTATTCATCGACTAACATCGAATCGTAGTTAACGAGCTATTTTAACACCCTCCGATCTTTTATGGAGAATGTTTGATCATATTCAAATTATGTTTATCTACGTTTATCGATGCAATCATTTTCAAATTATTCTGATCGCTTTATATGCTGTAGGAGATAAACTGTTTGAGATTTGTTGATTTTGTTGATAGTTGTTATTGGTGTAATAAATATTTTTATAGTTATATTATTTTGTCATTTTTATAGGTTTTGTGATTATTTTAGATGATACTTTTAAGGACTACATTTAGTGTATACAATGTTATATCGTAACATACATGTAATTTATTATACATATGCGAAGTATAATTTAATAAAATGGAAGAGGAAAATAAATATGTATTATGATTATTGTTATAAAATTGCAAATGTTTGACACAGCTAATGTCAATATTGATATCATCTATTATTTTTGTTATCAATTTTATGTTTGACATTAATGGTTGCAACACATGACACTATACATTCAGTTAAATTAATTATTTCACAGAAAAAATAAACTAGAGTAACTTCCAAGAGCTCTCAACTTTTAGGTAATGAATTTTGACACAGTTTAGAAAATAAAATTCAAAGTAACCTGATGTTACAATATGTGATATCGAACATAACCTCTGCAATATCAAACATAACCTACATATGTATACCACATATGCTATACATATGTGTACTGCACTAAGCTGTGTGTATATTAAGCTATAATAATTTTGACTGTACTAGTTGATACAATTTTAGTATTCATGACAATACGTCAATTATTATGTTCTTGAACTTGCACTCAAAATGAAGTATTTCATTATAATTATATAATTATTATAATTTTGTGAACATGTATACATACATGATATGTGATACCTACATGATATGTAATATCAAACCTATATTTGATAGTAAAAGTATATGGCACTGATTGAACTTACACTCAAAATGAAATACTTCATTATAATTATATAATTATTATAATTTTGTGAACCGGTATACATACATGATATGTGATACCTACATGATATGTAATATCAAACCTATATTTGACAGTAAAAGTATATGGCACTGATTGAACTTACACTCAAAATGAAATATTTCATTATAATTATATAATTATTATAATTTTGTGAACCTGTATACATACATGACATGTGATACCTACATATGTAATATCAAATCTAAATTTAACAGTAAAAGTATGACACTGATTGTACACTTAATAAAACTTCAATTTGCTCGTTAAAAGATACCTTAAAAAATGATAATCACCAAAGTGAATACAATTACAAGGGAAGTTCAAAGAAGAATGGAGTGAAAGACAAATGCATCGATTTCGTAATGGACTGCATTAAATTGGATAAGGAACGTCAGATATTGCAATTCCATTTACGAGTATCGACCGTCTGTTAATTATTTCGCGGCTCGTTATCGCGATACTTTTCAAACGAAATCATTTGCGACACAGCAGCGAGCCGCGCGCGAAATACCAATCAATTCTGGCCGCGATACGGCAAATCCGATCATTTTAATAATCGTTTAAAATAATGACATTAATTCGAACGGGACAGCCGTCGAATATCGTTGCGGTCCGAACGTCACGTCGTTCGTCCATCGAAAAATATTATCACCCTCCCCGATTCATCCCCCTATCTGTGGTATTAAAACGAGTCGTCCTGAAAATACACCGGAATCTGCTTTTTCATTTTTAATCGAGCGAAATTCACCGATTTTTTGCGTCGAGATTGAACGTCGATTCGTCGATAGTAAATTGCATTTAGATTATGGCAAAAATTTATAGGAACGGTTTATTGATGAGTTTATTAGTAAGTTATTAGTCATCATTTTTTTTGTTAATTGTGAGTAACAATTTTTTAATAAATTATTGGTAAATTGTTAGGAATAGTTTATTAGGAAATTTGTAAATTTCTTGGGAAATTATTCATGAATTATTGGTATGAATTTATTGTTAAATTATTAGCAAACTATTAGTAATAATTTATTAGTAAATAACTAGTAAATTTATTAGTAAATTATTAATGAATTATTAGTACCAATTTATTATTAAATTATTAGTAAACAATTAGCAATGATTTATCAATAAATTACTAGTAAATTTCTTAGTAAATTATTAATGAATTATTAGTATCAATTTATTAATAAAATATCAATAATCAATTAGCAATAATTTACTAATAAATTACTAACAAATATATCATTAAATTATTAACGATTTATTACTGTCAATTTATTACTAAATTATTAGAAAATTATTAGTACAAATTTATTAGTAAATTATTGATCGAAATAAATTATAAATATATTTGATCCGAAGTGAATTTCGATTTAAGTTTTAATTCAAACAAATCGGGTTTAAATTATAACAAACAGTAATGAATGCGATTCATTTTAGAAGGAATATAGGAATCGATAAAAAATTATTAATTAATACAAGCATTTTTATTTGATTTGCATCGCGGAGGAAAAATGAACATCTTTCTATTTGCGATTATTAATTACAATGTACATATTAAAGAGAATATCGGAGATGTTCTTATTCCGATATTTTATTTCTGTCGGAGATTTAAACGAATCTTAAAATAAAATGGTTTTGTATTCACACATTTAAATATTTTTAATAAATTTGATTATTCGAGCGTCCATAATAAAAACAGAATGAAGTAAACATATTTTCATTTTAATTAGTCCGCCTCGGTGACTTACGAAATAGGAAATATTAATTAAAGGAAATCAAAATCCGGGTAAACAAAAAATTTGAAAAAAATCCGTAATATAAAAGCAGCGCCGAATTATTAATTAAAAGCAACAAGAAGGCTTTAATAAAACAAAGAAGCAGTTACCATTCAACAGAACTTTCTTCGTGAAAATTATCGCGAGTTTATAATCCGCGTAAACCGACGCAGACACGGTGGATCGCGAACACGTATCACGGGGGGTTGGTTGCTACCCCGAATTATTTTTTCCCCGTTTCGCAAAAAATTTATGCGAGCAACGAGATTAACTTTTTAATTAATCCCCGCCGGTGTTTTACGGTTATTTCACAGATATTGAATCAACGGTGGAAATGAACTGGACTGGAAGGAGTTTCGGAGGGAGGGTGGTGTGAAATTCTGCTCGATCATTAAATGAAACCCGCGAATCGATCTGCCTAACAATGTCCAAAAGCCCGCGTAATCCACTCCCGGGATATTCGACGAGAACGAAGCCCATGCAGGAAAATAATGCTGTCTGCTCGTCAAAGCGGAAGATTACGCGTTACATCGTGAAATAGATATGGGCTGGCTTGCTGGCTATTATTTCGTGAAATTCTGATGGACCTCTCTGGTTAAGACCGTGAAAGGAAAATTGATTTTCGAGGATAAACCCTGATACGGATTTCCAGCGAAAGAAGCGGAAAAAGGACTGGACATGAAATCCTTATCCTCGGGATAACAGCTCTCAGAGTATTACGTTATAATTATTTCAAATACACTGTTATTTTATACTGGCAAATAGTCATACAGCTAAACCTGTCAATATTTATTTTTACTACCTCGCAATATAGTAATCATTCTATAATACGCAAATATGTATGTCCTTTACGATATAAACAAACGATGACCGTGTAGTTCTTCTATCCTTTTCTGTTATACGCTCGCCGCGTCGACGATATTCTACTGTTTCACGAACACGCGTTGTGACTTGCAAATCTGTTCGACAGTCCTATTTTACGCTTCTCAAGAGAACGGTCGTGGAAAGCAGTGCCCGGAATTCTCTTTTATGTGCGTCTTCGAATTGTTCATTTTTCTAGTGTATTATATATTTATTTTTCAGGCTTCATATCCTACAATACGATCCATTAAAACCCTGTTGCAGGTAGGGAGTGTGACCGTCATTAGGACACCAGTCGAAGGTAGCTTCAAGTGTAATGCTGACGAGGTAAAAAATCTGGGCAACACGTGCGGTTTGTTCAAAAATATTCTATTGTAACAGTTCAATTGAACAGATCTTTATTACCCATTATAGAAATCCTCGTCGTTCGGATCTAAATTGATTTACGATTGTCGGAGTCTTACCCCCGCTGAAGTACTCCCCGTTTTCCAACAGTCACGTGGAACGAGTTTCTTCAAAATTGCAACCAATCACGAACGCCGTGAGAAAAAACACACCCACAAATTCAGTTTACCAGTAAAGCAACGTTAGCGACAAGTCAGCAGATTCCAAGATACGTTCAAATAGTAAACATCGAGTTAACTCGCTGAAGGAAGCTTTTTATTTAAGTGCGTTATACACTTAGACTGTGTACCATCTTTGATCATTCAGAGAGCTGTTAATTTTGAGGTAGGTATTCCATGAAAGTTTCTTTTGCTTTAATTTTTGTTCGTAGGGATAACACTCTAAGACTGTATTAAATATTTTACAGATTGTTATACACTTAGACTGTGTACCATCTTTGATCCTTCAGAGAGCTGTTAATTTTGAGGTGGGTATTCCATGAAAGTTTCTTTTGCTTTGATTTTTGTTCGTGAGAATAACACTCTAAGACAGTACTAAATAGTTTACAGATTCAGAAATTGAGGAATATGGAATTTAGTTGTAGTTCCTATATGAGTGGTGGTGACGAGTACAGCAGTTCAAACCCAGGCAAGAAGATGAATATAAACATTCGCAAATACAAATACGCGAAATGGAACAATTGCAACTACAGAGATGTGACTATATATATTAACCTCATTCATAAAGATGCGAAATTCCGCTTCAGCACTCGAATAAGCACTGGAGGTTGGAACAAAAACTATTACAGTTTTACAGATATGTCGCGCAATGTGAATCTAAATGTTTGGAAATACAGGAAGCTTAATATATACGTGCGCGATCAGTCAAATGTAACTAGAAACGTTTACAAATCCAATAATTGGAATGCGAAGACACACAATTATTCAGATTATGTTATGACTTATGACATAATAAATAATAAGACTGTGTATTTGAATATTCACGAATATCTAAATTGAGACAGGGGTTTTTGCTGCATTATGTTATACGTACTACAAATTATATAAATTGTCTTTCAAACTTGTAGTTGTAACTTATTAGCCTTTAAGATTCATCGAGCGTTGTAATGTATCACGAAGCGTCATAAATACTTATTCATTAATTATAGTTATTAATATATTATGTACGAGTACATGTCAGTCATATAAATCATAAGTTTCAAATTTTCTGTCAACCGTTTTCAAGATCCATGTACCAAAATTGTTATGTAAAGTTACATAAATAAATAAAGCTTAAAGTCACTAAATAAAGTTTGCTATTAACTTTCGATCCTCTTCAACATTTTTTCCTCTCTCTCCCTCGTTCATTGGTTTCTTACCCAGGGAATTGGGTTTATGATTCAACTGGCTGATTTCTGTAATTGTATTAACGAGATTGTACGTGTTTCGCGATACCAACACGGAGAACCCGGTGTAATATATTAGCGACGAACCATCTTCGAAGCATAGAGCCGCTACCTCCCACGTTCGCGTTCTGAGACACGTGCATGTCATGTCAGCTCGATACATCAGGAATTATGTACGTATATCCTTCAACCCCTTACTAACGTTACGTGCATATATGTACTGCAGCATGTCATACTGTAACTCCTCATCAGGAATATAGCTCGAACTTTATGTCCCTTGTAACAGAATCATTTAGAAATTAAGACGGGAATTTAATATCTATCGCTAATCGTTGTCACGTTACATGTGAATTTACGTTTAAGTCGAATTCATTGCGTTCAAAAGGGTTATTGTGGATTATTCTGGATTCGATGTAGAGGTTATTGATGATTGACACCTTCAATTTCACGTAATCGAGTAATTTGAGATTTTCGTGAGGTACTTGTCATCGTGAGGTAGTGATTTTAAGGGGAAGTTTTTCATAGGTGATCAATTTTAGAAATTTAGATGCTTTGAAATTTTTGAAATTTCAACTACTGTATTTTCAAAGTATTATATAGATTTCAAAGTGCTACATTTTGAAGTTCAAAGGTTTTTGAATTTTAAAATTAAAAAGTTTTCAGTCTTTAACTTCTCAAATTCTCATATGTGTGCATGTTCATATATTCAATTTTACACACGTTTACAAATTTAATTTAAAAATGTATAAATGGAGAAATGTTCTGACATGTTTAGAGACATCAAAGTTTCGAATTAATAATTTTTTTAGTTTCAAATTTTTAGTCTCAGAAATTTTCACATATGTGAATGTTCAAACTCACATGTGAATGTTCAACATAACCTCAAATTATATTTCATACTAGTCACTTCAAGTCACTGCATATTAGGGACTAAGTCTTTTAAGTCATTAAATGGCGTACAGTGTGTGTCTCTTAAACAAAATGGCGTCCAACGTGCCTCTCTTAATCAAAATGGCATCCAACGTGCTTCCTACGTGCCTCTTAATATTACTCAAAAATATTCTTCATATACCATAAAATTCTACAATCATTTTTCCTACCAACTTCAATGCAATAGCTAAAAAAAAGTGACCTTTGCGACAGTATAAATTCCATCAATACTCGATGTTTCAAAAACGTGAATCCCTTGTTAATTTCTCAACGAGGCAAACGTAAGGCGCTGATTACGCGATTATTAATGCGAGTGCTATTTATCGTCCGCATGATCGATGGCTATGAATAACGGTGTGTGTATCTTTTCAGAAAATCTGGCGTGTATGAACGGGGCCGCTGAACGTTGGCGAAGTAATAAGGCAAAAAAGAAATGGCTACCACGTTCGCGATTGATCGTTACGTGCTTCGAATTGCAAGTACAAAAAAATGTTCGGAATTACTTCGGAGATTAAGAGTTAGTTGTTTTATTACTTTACAAGTTCAATGACATTTCATTTATTTATATTACAGGGTTTTAATGAAATTTCATTTCTGCTGGTATTATGTAGAGTTCTTTTCTTCGAACTTTTATTAGTGGAAGGTTTTATTTAATTATAATGCATATTGCCTCTAGGGTCAAAGGAGTGCTTTTATTAATATTTTATGAGGGGAAATCTTTAGTTTAATAATATTTTATAAGGGTGAGTTAGGATTATTTTGTATTTCAGAGAGTTATTTAAAATATTAATACACATTTATTTGTACTGAAAGTATTTATTTGTACAACCTTCATGAATTAAAAATATTTATTCGTACAATCTTCATTAATAAAAAATATTTATTTGTAAATTCATGAATAAAAAATATTTATTTATATAACCTTCATGAATAAAAAATATTTATTTGCACACACACATATGAACAAAATAATATTAATTTATATAACCTTCATGAATAAGAAATATTTATTTGTACACACATATATGAACAAAATAATATTAGTTTATATAACCTTCATGAATAAAAAATATTTATTTGCACACACACACATGAACAAAATAATATTAATTTGTATAACATTCATGAATAAAAAATATTTATTTCTGCACATATAAATAAAAAAATACCTGTCTGCATATCTTGTAATAAAAAATATCCATTTACACCCCTTTGAACAGAAGATATGGCTAATATAAAAACAGTTTAAAACAGCATTTTGCAAGACAAAAGGTCATGCAACGCGGAGTTAATACCCAAAGCAAGAGATTAAACGAACAATAAAAATGTAAATAGTAAAGAAGAAAGATACAAAACGAACGTAACATCGTTGCCCATTTTTTCCTCTCTGTTTACAACAAACGTTATGATGTACGTCGTTAATACCATGCCAGCCACGTATCACCGAATCGTCGGCCAACATCGTTGATACGGCATCAGGCGTGCGTCACGCGCGAACATTACACGATCGCACGCGACTCAAACAACTCGCTTTTCCGTTGGACCTGGCATTACGAAACAATCCCGTAGATCGCCATTTTTTTTCCTTTTTTTTTCACTCGCCGCGAAACCGTACAAAATCAGTTCGCGTGTCGCAGGTTGCCGACCCCGTCAGCCCGCGACACTCTCGTGTCCCGACGTATTAACCCCGAAACTCCCACACACGTGCACACATATGAATGTGTTTCATCGTGTGTAGCAATTGTGTTCAACACTTTTCAGGTAGATTTCGAACCAATCTGAAGTCACTAGGGTTTTCAATCAAGGTTGGTGAAACATTTATTGTCGGATTTGATTGTCAAAAATAAAAACTGGGAGGTTTATAAATAAATAAGGTGGAGACTACTGGACGTATGTTTTAGATATAGAATATTCATACAAGTAAGGGTACATAAGGTGTCAGTACAGCTAAGGTTAGGTTAGGTATAACACTAGTTATGAGACACCCTGTATAGCTAGCGATGGTACTTTGCATCCCCTCTTTACCTCCAAACTGTTTTCTAAAAAAAAAAATTAAGGATTTAATAGAAAACTTTAGTGATTAGTCAATTTTTCTGAAGCCTTAAAGAGTAGAAAATATTCGAAAAGGAGATAAATTCATTATTTGGTAAAAATTGCAAATACAGCAAAATTGTCCCATATATTATGCAAATACGGTGAATTGCAGGTGAAACGAGTGTGAATAGGTCATTAAAACGTTACGAGTAATATATCGCGGGACATCCATCTGGGTGGACACGTTCGAAGAAGGTAAAAATGTGGCACGAGCATTCAACACTTTGCATGAATATTCAGCGACACTTAAAAGCTCTAATGATAATCCAAGAAGCGCGTGAAGGTTTAAGGAAATTGCATCTTGTGAAAGAGGATGTTGTAAAGAGGGCAGGAATAAAGACACAGGGGTGGCAAGCTGTAAGTTTAAGGGGAAGCAACAGCCCCTCGAGTACACTGGCTTCGCATGCTCATCGAAAAATTTGTACATATTTATTACAATGTACGTGGCATTGTATTAGCATAAATTTACAAGTTTCATGCCCCATTTATCCCCCTAATGTATGGGTTCTCATCACCTGAGCCAACCGCGTTATCTCGTGTTTTTCGCCCCATATTAGGGTAGTATCTGCTGTTCACGGGGGGAAAGAACGTTATTCACCGTTAACAAAACATTTCACCGAAACTTTGTAATCCGACGGAAGATTGTCCTCGAGATCGAATGTTTCCGAAAGGTCGCCTTTGATATATTGCAGGAAACTTTTCTTGCACGATATTCAAGTTTTTATAGTGTTTTTATGAGCGATTGCGTTTGGCGAATTTTAGAGGTTTGGGAGCTGGGATGGAGGAATTTGGGGATGTGAGGGTTTAGAATTTAGAATTTAGGGATTTGGAGATTTGGGGATTTGGAGATTTAGGGATTTGGGGATTTGGGGATTTGGGGATTTGGAGTTTTGGGGATTTGGGGATTTGGGGATTTGGGGATTTATGGATTTGGAGATTTGGGGATTTGGGGATTTGGGGGTTTGGGGATTTGGGGATTTGGGGATTTGGGGATTTGGGGATTTGGGGATTTGGGGATTTGGGGATTTGGGGATTTGGGGATTTGGGGATTTGGGGATTTGGGGATTTGGGGATTTGGGGATTTGGGGATTTGGGGATTTGGGGATTTGGGGATTTGGGGATTTGGGGATTTGGGGATTTGGGGATTTGGGGATTTGGGGATTTGGGGATTTGGGGATTTGGGGATTTGGGGATTTGGGGATTTGGGGATTTGGGGATTTGGGGATTTGGGGATTTGGGGATTTGGGGATTTGGGGATTTGGGGATTTGGGGATTTGGGGATTTATGGATTTGGAGATTTAGGGATTTGGAGATTTAGGGATTTGGGGATTTAGGTGTTTGAAGATTTGGGGATTTAGGGATTTTGGGATTTGGAGATTTAGGGATTTAGGGATTTTGGGATTTGGAGATTTAGAGATTTGGAGATTTGGAGGTTTAGGGATTTAGGGATTTAGGGATTTTGGGATTTGGAGATTTAGGGATTTGGAGATTTGGAGATTTGGGGATTTAGGGATTTGGAAATTCAGGTATTTGGAGATTTAGGGATTTGGCGATTTAGGGATTTGGAGATTTAGGAATTTGTAAATTCTCACATTCTACACTTCTTGTTAAGAATATAACAAATTATCGCACGTTCATAAATCGATTGACAAAAAACTATTACATCGTTAATTTATATAAATCGTGAACTCTGTCATGAATGTCATTCTTTATCGTATATTTGCCATCGTTAAATCGTTAATAGTTTGCTGTAATATTATTTTAATAAATTGATTACATTTGG